AGAGGCTTCTGGGTGTGTCAATGAGTGTGATTTTAGGAATGATTGGCATGTGGGATAATAAATCAAATTGAAGATCCTTCCTCAGCATGGGCAGCACCATCCAATAGGTTGGAGGCTTGGAGAGAATAATAAATTTGGAAGAACTAGGAAGCTGCAGCACATGCATGCTTGATTCTTCTTGCATGGGTGCTTGATGGCTGCTGCCATTGCCTGAAGGTAGGTACACTAGAAGAATTGTCAATTAAAGTCCACTTTGAAAGTGGACTCTGCCAGTGATTCTCCAGGTAGTTTCCAGAAGCCTTCAGTCTCAGACTGGGTTCCCATTGTTGATCTATGTTGTACTGAGGCTTCAGCATCTTGGACTGCACAGCTACTGGTCCCCCCCACCTCACATACACACACACACACACACACACATACACACACACAAATGTTGAGTATCTTACCAACCGGGGAGATACAAATCAAAACTACATTGAGATTTCTCATCACTCCAGTCATAATGACAATTATTAAGAATATAAAGAATAATAAATAATGGCAAGATTGTGAGGTAAAAGGAACATTAGTACCACCACTCTAGAAAGCAGTATGGAGATTCCTCAAAAAACTAGGAATGGAGCCATTATAGGGTCTAGCTGTCCCACTCCTTAGAATATAACCAAAAAAAACCCTAAAATCAGCACTATAGGGATACTTGCATACCAATGTTTATAGCATCACAATACATAATAGTCAAATTATGGAACCACACAAGGTGCCCATCTACATATGAACGGATAAAAAAATGTGCTATATATCCACAATGAAGTTTTTTTTAAAAAAATTATTTTATTGGTTCTTTTTAGTTTTACATGACATATAATCCATTTAGATATAATTATACAAGCATGGAACATATATTATTCTAGTTTAGACCCCAGTACTTCTCCTTCCCCTTTCCTTTTCTTACCCCTGCTGTCTTCCCTCCATTGATCTTACTGCCATTTACCCATAATTATTTTTTAAAATTGATTTCTTGTGGATGTACTTGATGGTGAGATTCACTGTGGGGAATTCATATATATATATATATATGTATAGGAATGTTGTGTCCGATCTATTCCACTGTGTGCTTTTTCTATGCCCTTCCCTTCCCTTGAGAGAAAACATTCAACCTTTGGTTTTTTGGAATTGGTTTTTTTCACTTAGTATGTTAGTCCCTAGATCCACCCATTACTGGTAAATGTCATAAACTCATTCTTCTGTATGGCTGAGTAATACTCCACAATACTCCATTGTGTATATATACCAGTTTTTCTTTATCCATAATCAGTTGAAGGGCACCTAGGTTGGTTCCATAGCTTAGCCTTGTGTATTGAGCTGCTATAAACATCGATGTGTCTGTATCACTGTAGTAGGCTGATTTTAAATCATTTAGATAGAGACTGGGGAGTGGGATAACTGGGTCAAATGGTGGTTGTATTCCTAGGTTTTGGAGGAATCTCCATACTACTTCCCAGTGTGGTTTCATCAGTTTGCAGTCCCACTAACAATGTATGAGACTACCAAAATTTACTGTTGCTTGTATTTTTGATAATTGCTATTTAGACTGGAGTGAGATGAAATCTTAGTGTAGTTTAAATTTTCATTTCTCTATCCGCTAGAGATGTCAAACATTTTTTCATTTATTTGTTGCTTTGAGAAGTGTCTGTTTAGTTTTTTGGTCCATTTATTGCTTGGGTTATTTACTTTTTTGGTGTTTAGTGTTTTTGACTTCTCTGTATATCCTAGATGTTTATACCCTACCTGGGGTGCAGGTGGAAAAGATTTTCTTTCATTCTATAGGCTCTCTCTTCACATTCTTACTATTTACATTGCTGTGAAGAAGCTTTTTAGTTTAATTTAATCCCATTTGTTGATTTTTGATTTTATTGATCGTGCTTTAGGAGTCTTGTTAAGAAAGTTGGTTGTTAGGCCAACACGTTGGAGTGTTGGGCTTACATTTTCTTCTGACAGGTGCAGGGTTTCTGGTCTAATTCCCAGGTCTTTGATTTATTTTGAGAGGAGTTTTGTGCAAGGTATTAAACTTCATACAATAAATAGGGATTACATTTGAAACAATGGAGTTTTATGCAGCCATAAAGAAGAAAGTATATATTTTAATTTCTGGTAAATGGATGGAACTGGAAGATAAAATGCTAAATGAAATAAACGAGACTCAGGAAGTCAAGAAGAAAACTTCCCTATTCTGACTCTGCAAACCTTTTCTTTTTTTCCTTCTTTGGATATATATCCTCATAGATCTACAGTTGTGTGAGAAAATCCATATGTTTTCTAGGTTCCTTCCTGACTCTTGACTCCCGACTCCCAGTGAAGGGGCAGGATACCACTTGGCTGAGTCAAGATTCTGCCCTTTTGTTTGCCTGGCTGACCATGATGAGACTGCCTTCCAAATAAATCTACTTTTATTCTTTTAGAACTTAATTATAGTTTGTGAAGTTGGTCATGGAAACCCAAGATGTCATGGGTTTACTGAAAAATCTCATCCTCCTGTCTGTGGAAGTCAAGTGTTGGCCATTTCTGGGGTTTGAATTTCTCACAATAGAGTAAATTAAGAGGTTTTCCAGTTATTGAATGACTTCCTCCCTCTTCATACCATGATTATATATAAAATTCCCAGACATGCCTGACTGATTTTACAGAAGCTTCTCAGGTTTATATTTATGTCTGCTGGCCACTGGTCACCACCCAAGCCACTGGACCAGCTAGTGTCTTCACCTGCACGTCCCTAGCCATTTCCTCTGAGAGATGTCCACCAGCATTAAGCAGACTGTCAATTGCCTTTGGGACTCAAAACAATGCTTCAGCTAAGTATTAAGAAATATCAAGTCATAAAGATGACTAATGTAACCAACAGTCTGGTGAAAGGAAGAAAGTAAGTCAGAAAATGTCAGCAGAGAAGATGTTCTCAGAGAAGGGAAGAAGAGGGAAGAGGTTCCTTGTTCAATAGTCCAAGGATAGTGGTGGTAATGAGAGGTGAACATGGAGTTCCAGCGCTTGTACATGCGGAAGTCTGAGGCCAACAGCACCTGCCAAGACCTCAGAATGTTTACCAACTGCACTGTCTAAGCTGGTAGCCACCAGCCACTGGAGACCCCTGAGTCCTGACAAGTGAGCTAGTCCTTGGGTGTGTTGTAAGTGTAAACCGCTCGGCCAATTTCAGAGTTAATAAGAATCAAAGAACTGAAAACATCTCATTAATGATTTCTTTATATTAGTTACATCCTGAAATAATATTCAGAATATATTTTTAGGTAAATCAAATATATTATTGACTTAATTTCACCTATTTCTTTTTGCTTTTTGAAAAAATGTGGCCCTCTAGAAATTCCAAAATTGCATCTATAGCTTAAATATATTTTATATATATATTCTATTGGGCAGTCCTACTCTAGACAATCGAAAATTCTAGGCACATCAGAAGATGAAGGAGGTACAGTTGTGCAGAGAATGTGACTGAAGTTTGCAGTGTTAGATGCCACCTGCAGCGGTCCTCACAGGGCCCAAATGAAGCACCTGGGACAGTGTGCAGGGAAGTCAGAAGTGTGATCCCTGTCAGGTTGCCTAGAGGGTTCAAATCCTGGCTCTGTCACTTGCTGGCCCTGTGCAAATCACTCGCCTCCTCTCATTTCAGTTTTCCCATAAATGAAGGTATAAATAATATTTCTTTGTTTTCTACCTCTCAGGCAGAATGTAAGTTTCATAAGACTGAGATAAAAAATTCCCGATTTCCTTCTCTTTTTTTGGTACTAGGGATTTAACTCAGGGGCACTTGGCCACCGAGCCACATCCCCAGTCCTATTTTGTATTTTATTTAGAGACAGATTCTCACTGAGTTGCTTAGCGCCTTGCTTTGGCTGGGGCTGCTGAATCACTTCTGTAACCAAGCACCTATAGGACGATATGTCACATGCAGATGATTGATAAATATTTACTAAGTAACTAAATACTTATTTTGTGTGATGAGTTTTAACAGGGCATTTGATAAAGCCCATAAATATTAATATTCAGCATACTTTTATACATGTTCAGCATATAATCAATCTCACTGTTCTGATTAATATACGAAATGGTATTTTCCTGTCCTGGATTCTGATACCTGTTTGGGAGCCCTGGCCTGGAGGACGAGGTCCCACATTCTTGCTCAGACACACTCAGTCTCTACTCATTCTTCTGCTGTCCTGCAGCACAATCCATTCTAGCCCTCTTTCTTTCACTCAATCCTGCCTGATTTCAAAGTGCTACCTGCCCAGAACATGCCACCATTTCATATTTGGGGTCTTGGTGACTTGCTGTTCCATCTGCCAGAGTGCCCTCTGCCTACTATGTGCCCCAGGACTTGCTCAATTCCCCTTTTTCTATCAGAAAGCACTTGGTGGCCCTCTCTGAGGAAGCCCCTTGGGACTTCCTTTGTTCTGTTCCAGCCTCCTGTATTATGTCTCAGCTCCTCAGGCGGGCAGCACAGGAACCCAGTGTCCCTGAGTGTCATAGTCCTTTGTCACTGGATGAAAAGAAGCCTGGCTTCACAGCATGCAGCATAAGTCCCATCCCCTGGAATCTCAAGGCAGATCTAGAGGCCATGGGGTGAGGAAGACCAAGAAGCAGGGAGACCTGGCTGCCCATCCTGTCTCTGCCTTCCATTGGTTCTGAGTTTGGGGGTTACTGCCTTTCCTCTCTGTGAGAATGGCTCTTTTCTTCCCTGCTTCTTCTTTTTCCCTTCTTTATTCCAAAGGGTATGGGGTGGTGAGAACCATGAATTTCCTTAATAAAGTTTCTTTGAAAGGTTAAGGTTCTAGAAACTTAGGGTATTCTGGGATTCTCAGGATAGATTTTGGAGGAAAGACACAACAAAACATGGAGAAGCTTGAACAGTTTATTTTACAGACCTCAACAGGAACCCCAGCCAAGCTTACTTGGAGAAAACCACATGGGTGCTGGTGGACACAGAAGGGGTTTCATTAACCTATGAACAGGGTACGCACAGTATAATATCGGTTTGCTTCATTGGGAACCACTGAAATATCTTCAACACAGATATTTTTCTCATTAATTATGTCAACCACTATTGCAATTTTTGCAGTCCCTGGAAGAGATGAGGACAAAGATCATTTTCCCCAAATCATTTGCAAATTGATTTCCCTTCTCAGCTTTTCTCATGCAGTGTTTCCCTTTTAGAGCCTGAGGCTTTGTCCCCATGGAATCCCTCTGGGGTCCTCCTTTCCAGCCACCCCTCCATTCCTCCTCCGGAGCTTGTGCTGAACATTGGTTCCTGGTCTTCCTCACTGGTGGGAGAATAACACCTTCCTTGGACTACACTTATACTTACTGTTGGTCTGAAAGTCCCAGAAGAAGGTTACTGGATCTTCACAGAGACAGCGGGTAAATTTGTAGTTGAAGGGACCTTCTATTTGGGGGTTGCTTTGGAGGTGAGCTTTAACCTTGTGGGGAAAGAGGACTCAGTGTTAGTCTGGGGAGTGGGAAGGGGAGGGAAAGACAGAGAACAAGAAGATGCATGTGGGCTAGAGGCATGCAGGAGCCCACTTATGTGGTGTCCACCATGGGTCAGTCAGTGTTAGGTTTTCTCTCCTCAAGTCCTCAATCTCCTGCCTGAGAAGTGTGGGTGTGAGACTCAGGAGGGGATAGGAAGATGGTATGACTCCAGGGGCAAGGAGAGCTCATCCCAGGGCTGCCATTCATCAGAGAACAGCTTGCTTAGATTAATAGCTGGAGCTTGGGGGATTGACCTGCATGAGGTTTTGGTCTGTAACCCAGTGAGACAGCATCCTGGCTGCTCAGGTGTACATGTCAAGGTCAGACCTTGTTCTTATCACGTGACAGGGCCCTGATGATCCTGCGACCTGGGATGACAAAAGTTAGAGCTTCCCCTCTGACTTCCTCCATGGTCAGGCAGAAACAGCCATGGAATCCCAAGCCTGGCTGTTAGATAAGCAAGTAGAACCATGATGGTTCTTTTTTCCTCTTTCAGCTTGAGATTGCTTTAGTATCTGCAATTATTGCTTCTGTCTATTTCAGTTGTCTAGTTAGCATTTATATCCCAAGACCCATCCACTCAGAAGGATCTGTAGATCGAGTACTGAGTCTGTGAGCTCAGATGGGAAAAAATTGTATCTTCACTTCGCCAAGATTTAACTGAACTTTGGCATTCCTTCAGTATGAAAATCATTAACGCTACATGGTTGCCTCAACAGCATATGCAACTTTTCCACCAGGAGCAACAAAATACAGTTTATAGATTCAAATACCTTGAACATGGCCTGTACTCATCACCACCCTGAACAAAAGGTGGAAATCAAAGTGGCTGCACCAGCATGGCTGGAGCACCCACAGCCTGCCCATCCCTGAAGCTTCCTCAGATACCTGGAAACTCCACCTTGAATAATAATTCTCCCCCTTGGAATGCTGCTGAGAACACCAGGGGGGGTGGGGTGTCCTGGTGTTTAGAGAAGCCTACACTTGCCTTGTTTACTTTAAAAAAAATCATATTTGCAATAAAATATCATCATGAATGGAAATTTCAACACTTCTATAATTGTAGCAAAAATATCAGAATCCAGTGGAATTCCAGCATAGCATGAATGAATGACATGTTGTCAAAGACCAGCACAGTTTAGTGGTCTTTATTCAAGCTGAGCAACAACATCCATCTCAGACAATGACTTCATAAAATGAAATCTAATATTATTTATATTCTAAATGTATTTTTTCCAGCTAATGTATTGGTAAACACATATATCACTGTATCGGAACTTCTATTGTTGTAATTCAATATGGTAGCTATCCTGCATCATCCACTGTACTTTATGCATTTAAAAGCAATTTTCTGATAACTATTTCATACATTTTATGAGACCAGTAAAATGGTCCACAACACAAAAATGCTTAATTTTTTTTGATTAACCACAAGTATCTTTAGCCTTAAAGTCTTATATTATCTGTATATTCAAGTACATAATTATAGGAACAATCTACTGTGCTTTGATTCTACAATAAACAAATGTGAGACTAATATAAAAAATTTAGTTGTAAAAGTATTATATTTGACAGAAAATTAGGAGGTGTAAATTTTAAATTCATATAAACAAATTATATTTTCCTAAAAGTATAAATACATAGAGATGTTTTTGTAATTATATTCTTTTTTAAATTGAAAGCTACAAACAAAATTGGTTGACTAAGCTAATATAATTTGCTTTTACCTGTTTGCACAATTACTCAGTCTAAGGAGTTCCTTGTTTTTATTTGCAGTTGGGTGGGTTTTAAAGGTCACTCTCTCTATTATACTAACAAGATGCTTAAAAGCATAATTTTATTGATCATAACATTACATGTCTTTTTATTGATTTAAATACACTTTATTACACCTATCCCTTCTTTAGGAGTGAAAATAGACTTTCATTAACTATCACCACCATAAACTACCATTGACACAAAAATTTTATGCATGCATTATGTACTCATTTTCCCCTTTCTCATCTTCAGTTTTGATTAAACAAATCACAAATTTGAAAACTATGACTCAGGCTCCCTCCCATCCAATTTAGCATAGAGAGCTCAGATTCTCGGAATTCAAATAGAAAAACTTTGACACAGTAGTTGGAATGTTCTGCATTTTCAGATCAAGACTCTTTTACCAGAATAGAGATATTTCCAGAATATATTTAAATGAATAGCTCCCAATTTTGTGTCCTATTTAATCACTGTTCTGAAATCTCACTTGAATCAGGAAACTCATGTTGTAGGGAAATACAGAGTGATGTAGTGCTCTAACCCCAGGTTGCTCAAAGTACTGTCCTTAGAATACAGCTTCTGCATGCTCTGGAGTTCCTGAGACATCTAGAAGTTTTGGCTTCTCTCTACACCTTGGAATCAGAATCTGTCCTTTGACAGGATGGCCAGGTGAGTTTTAGGCTCATCATGATTCGAGAACTTCTGTTCTACTGCAGTCTAATCTACAAATTAGACTTCTCTCCAAGAAATGCTGAACTGGGAAAAAGAGGACAATTTGTGGAGTGGAGGGTGGGGCCAGAACAAGAGCCAACTTTTGGTGACTTGAAGCAAAAGAGCAGAGGAAGGGGGAGTGAAAGGCAGACTTGGCTCAGGGCTCACTGGAGATGAGGCACCTTGCTCTGCAAGTCCTTCTGTTCCATGCCCTCAACCTACTGCATGGGGTTGCAATCAGTCCTACCAAGAACCCTCTGTCCAGGCTTCCATCCCAGACCAGGAATGCTCAGGGCCTTGGAGGAACTGTGACTGGTTCTCCAGCAGCTCTTAGGCTTTGTTTTTTCTTTTATTTTCCTTCTTTGTCACTTCTGTTTTCTTGTTTATATATTTTTTTTCTTATTCCTTCCTCTCCTTTCTCATCTTCTCTAAACCTCTTGGGATCAGAGTTTCCTTATGTCTAAGATGAGAATGTTCATCCCACATTCCCACAATTGTTCTGAGTCTCAAGTAGCAAAACTTATGAGGAGGTTAAGTATATTGTGCAACACAAAAGCGAGAGAGAGCAATTCAGTTTTGTTCCTAATAAGAAGTAAGATTTGTCTGGAGGTCCCTCCTCAGGCCTGTACTTACCACCATGCATTCTCTCAGTTCTGTTTGAACTTTCAGTTTCAAAGTGACTTCTTCATTTGCTCTTGCTCTCTGTGGGAAATCCACATCAAAATTCATCACTTTCCGACTGGTTCCCGGAAGAGAAAAACAAGGAACAGAGATCATAGACTTGTTCATGGGAATGGCGGGAGATGGTGGGGTTGGATGAACTGCTTAGCATTAGAGCCCCAGGAATTTTTGCCTGTGGGTGGGTTTGGATATTGTGTCTGGATTTAGTTTCATTTTGAAAAGCAACTGGATTCTACTTAAAATAGATCATCTTCCATTTTATTTCCATTGACAAAAAAGAACAAGTTTATAAACAGAAAAAAGAAATGAAAATTCAAGTACAATACCACACGTCATTTACTAATAACACCCTACAGTTCTGCTGCTTATCTGCTGTGGGATGGGAGAGGGGAGTCACCCATAGGAGAAGACAGCATAGCCACAGAATCACATCACTCCAGCAAACATCTCCATGCACTGACTTTTTATGACTGTCCTGAAAGATCCTCCTTCTTTGTTCTGGATAGGGTCCAGCAATTAGAATTTACTTAGTTCTTTGGAACTCGAGTCCCAGGAAGTTTTAAAACTCTATAGGAAGGGATGTACAGATTTCCTGATTAGGAAAGAAGCCCTCCCTAAGGTTTCTCTGTGGAAGGAAGGGCTTGGCTCACGGGTTTTCCAGAGCTTTGTTGAATCCCAGTTGCAGGCACAGGACCAGGAGCAGGGCAGCAGGGCCAGCCCTGAGTGGCAGCTGGAGAGAGCGCATGCTGAAGGAGGCAGAAGGTGACTTCCCAGAGGAGTGGTGATCCTGGTGTCCAGCACACTTCTTATATGTAAATCAAGGAAGAGGAGGAGCTGTCAGGTAGCTCCATGAAGTGAATCACCCAATCCTGCACCCTATTCATGATCTTTCCTTGTTGAGCTGAACTTTGTTTGTCTTCCTTATTTTCTCAGTATCAGAGCTTCTCAGAATGGCCCTTGCCTGGCTTAAGGACATGGTTCTGTCCCTTCAGTGTCTGCAGTGAGGTGTAGCCCCGTGTCCCATCCCTGCTCTCTTGTTCTCTGCAGGCAATGATCCAACTGTGCTGGCGGAGTCTAGGCCACTAATATAGAGCACATCAGCTTGAGTACTCTTCTATTAAGTTCAAGAGTAGATGTCATACAAACAGTGTCTTGGAGTGATAGGGTGATCAGGGCTTGCTAGGGACCACCAACACTCACATGGGATGAGAACTAGGGAGGAGGGAGACTGCCCTGGGGGATAGAAAAGTGCCACCAGATTAAGTTCAGGGAAGGGTAGGTGGGGAGTGATCCATATAACGATGTTTGTGATTTTTAATTCCTTCTGAATTTCATGTGTACTGGTAAATGCTACAGATGACCAAGATCTCAGATGCCCCAAAGTCCTCAGTGCAGGAGACCAATAAATCTTGTTATTCGATACAATTCCTGAACATTTGGGAGTTAACATTCTCAAACAGACTGTTTGGCATCAAAGTGTCTGTTTGTTTCCATATTGACTTGGCCACTTTCTCACACTTGTCTTGTGGCATAAAACACACAGGAAGAGATAATGGAAAGGACTTCCTCCTCTGGAACAACCCATGTCCAGGGGAAGCCCTGGCCAAAGTGTTCTTCCCAATGGAATGATGGGGAGACTCTCTTACTGACAGTGGCACTTTGTTATTTATCTTTAATCAATTAGATCCGTACTTTAGTCTATAATTTATGAATTGTGCTATTTGCTCCTATCCTCCACATTACAGGAGCCCAGGAATATCCTTTTGGGCACAAGGAGTGAAAATCCCCATTCTAGGAGTTATCTGCGTATGTTGCTACAGCTGGCATTCAGAATTGAAGTCTGAATTCCAGTTTCTGGATGTCTTTTAAAAGTTTCTCTGTCCTGATTGCTGAGCTCCTGTGCCTCCCTACACATTCTTGAATTGGGAATGATTGATGTCATTCTTCATTGGTAACTGCAGCTCTTGTTGTGATTGCATACTTTCTTTGTTCCTGTTCCCTGAACTCAAGGTGGAACTTCATTCCACCTTGCCCTGGTCACAGTGACCTTCCTTCATGACCATTCTTTTATGTCTTCATTTTCTTTACACTGTATCTTCTCTTACTTGTTTGAATAATTTCCACCAAAATGACATATGTGGGCCAATAGATGTGATGCAACAAGCCACAAGTCACTCTAGCCTAATTTCCTCAACTACCACCCTCACTGCCTAGGTCTGGGTGGAGATACCTGCATCCAGCATATCCTGTAGGATGGTGTTTTCTTATACATTTTACTGAGTTTAGCTTATCGGAGAGTGGGCAAATCCACCATGCCAAAATCCACGTGTCCTCAATGTGTTGCACAAGGGACATAGGGTATCAGCATTCATGGGCTTGAGTGCATTTGGAAACAGTGTTTCAGAAGCCAGGTAGAATCTAAATAGATTTTCAGTTCTGTAGATGATATGTAGCAGTGTTTTAATGAGCTTTATGGCAAAAGTTGCCCATGCAATGGTTAGGGTATCCAATCTAACAGGGGACTCTTAGGGGGAAATTGTAAACTAGTCAGTGTGCAATGAACAATGGACTAGTCGATTAGATTTAGGAGACCAAATAGAGGTTGAAAAATTAGATTGTAAACACTCAGGAGGCTTATAGAAGAGATGTGCACCAGGATAAAAGGAAGGGATTAAGGATTATGGATTAAGAAGAAGCTTGTCACAGGCTCAAATTGCAAAAAGAAAGATGATCGTAGACTTGACAGGCCTCAAGAAAGAGCAAGGTGAGGAATGGCCCAAAAAGGGAGTTAGGGAGCCAACACATTTGGGGGATGTGGCATGTACATCACACCATTCTAAACATTTCAGATGCATTAACTCACTGATCCCCTACTTTACTCTGTAAAGTAGGCTGCTATTTTTCATTCCATTTTACAAATGGGGAAACTGAGGGAAAGAAGAGATAAGTGTCTAGCTTATGTCATAGAGCTAGTAACTGGTGAAACCAACTTTGGAAACAGATTTTGTGATATCTGAGTATTTTTATCTGCATTCTTGGGGAACGCTTTCAGAAATCGAATATAAACTTGCAAATATAAAAAACAAGTTGAGGATCCTAAAGAGGTGCCTGAAAGTAAGGAGCCCTTCCATTTTACATTATTAACTTAATGGTGAACACACTGATAGATGGAGCCAGTTTCAACACAGGCAGCCTAGCTCTAGAACCTGAGATTTGAACCACAACACTGTCTATAGGGGAGAACCAGGATGCAAAATTAGTAGGTGACAAAATCGTGGTTCAAAATCAAGTAATCTGATACCAGTGTTTATGTCCTAAGAGTATTTGTCCTGTTTCTTGGTGTAAGGATGTTTTAAAGTTGAGGAAGGGAAACTTACTGAGGTTTTTATAACTTTTTTAAATTGCAGCCAACAAATAACAAAGGTGTTATTGAAATCAGATAGAAAGGACCCACAGTTGGCACTTAGAAAGCCAACTCTTCACTTCCTCTTAATGAGTGGACGCTTGAGTACTGTAGGATTTATACAGGGGTATTGAACTTGTACTGAAGATGCAGTGACTGAGGATACAATGAATTGCTCACCAGAGCAGGTCACTTTCGAGCCCAGCTGAGGGGTGTGTGTGTGTGTGTGTGTGTGTGTGTGTGTGTGTTTGTGTGTGCAACAGCAATGCTACTTGCCTTAATGGATTAATACTGAAATCTTAGTGACTTAAATCACCAGAAGTTTATTTGTAGATCTGTCAGAGAGATAGGGGTGGGAGTGTACCTCTGCTTAGAAACCTGTCATCATTAGTGTCATTTCTAAGGTCACTTTAGGCATTAGTATCCGGCTGTCAAAAGGTGACAGAATGGAGAACTACCGAAGGTGTTTTTATGGGCACGATTTGGAAGTGGCTCATGGCATTCATCCTGTATCCCCACAGCCAAAGTCACATGTCCACACCAACCTGTGAGACTGGGAACTATAGACTCCGTGTGGCCCAGGAACAGGGAAAACTGGTTAGTGAAGTTTCCCGTTACCACCTGTGCACAGTATGTGAATAGTCATTTTTAGTAGAAAGCAATAAATTGCTTTCACCAATGTGTGACACTATCAATCCTCTTAATTGTGGCTTTTCTGCTGGATCTGTACTGAAATTTATTATGATTTTACTTTTAGTTTTTGTGATAATTAAAGGTATTTGCTCTTTTTATATTTTTATAATTTTACAATAAAAATTATTAAGTTTTTATTATAAAATTATAATTTTATAATCAAAATAAAATTTATTATAAATAATTTTATAATTAAAATTATAATTTTATAATCAATTTTATATTGTATATAATTTTATAATAAAAATTACATATGGGGCTGGGATGTAACTCAGTGGCAGAATGCTTGCCTAACATTGTAATCCCCTGGTTTCAATCCCCAGCATTGCAAAAAAATTTTTACTTATGACATCTGCTAAAGTAATTTTTTCATATTGATTCTTCTTTAAGATCCTCTTATCCTTATTGTTGGCTCTGTGATCTCATGTGTATTTAAAATGAGCCTATAAATTCTGCAAAGAATAAAAGTTGGTGTTTTTTGGAATTACATTGATTCTATAGTGTGGGAAAACTTAACACATCATTTAGTTTACAAGCTAGATGATACTATATTCTTTACTTCAGTATTCTTTAGTTTCTCCCAATAACATTTTCTGTGAAAAATCTTTTCTAGATTTATTTTTAGGTGATTGACATTTCATGTCACTATGAATTTTAAGACTTAATTTCATGTTCTAATAGTTTGTTATTTATATGCAGAAATATAATTGTTTTTATAAATAGATCGTGTGTTCAGAAATCTTGCAAATATGCTGGGTGCAGTGGCACACGCCTGTAAAATCAGTGGCTTGGGAGGCTGAGGCAGGAGGATCACAAGTTCAAAGCCAGCCTCAGCAACAGGGAGACACTAAGCAACTCAGTGAGACCCTGTCTCAAAATAAAATACAAAATAGGGCTGTGGATATAGTTCAGTGGTCTAGTGCCCCTGAGTCCAATCCCCAATACCCCCCCCCAAACAAAAAGGGAAAAAATTTAAAAAAAGAAATCTTGCAAATACTTGTGTTCTTCATAATTTTTATTGGTTCTTTTCAATTTTCAACAAACACAAATATATCACTTATAACAAAATTCTTCTTATCCTTCTGCAGGTTGAGTAACCTTTGTCTGAAGTGATTGGAACTAGAAAAGTTTCCAATTTTGGACTTTTGCCTTTTTTGTACTTTAGAATATTCAAGATCTCTCTCTCTCTCTCTCTCTCTCTCTCTCTCTCTCTCTCTCTCTCAGAGACAGATATATCTTGGAGATGGGACCCAAATTTGGACATGAAAATCTTTTATTTTTCGTATATACCTTATACACATGATCTGAAGGTAATTGTACATAATATTTTCAATGCACCTATATACTGTGACCAATTTCATAAGATCAGGTGTGGAATTTTCCACTTGTGGCATTACGTCAGCATTCAAAAAGTTTTGGGTTTTGAAGAACTTAAATATTTTACTTCAGATTTGACACGTGAAACCTATACTTTATTTTTTTTTTATCTTGATGAACCACCTAAATAAAACCTCTAGTAAAATGTTGAATAGAAGCAACTATCGTGAAAATCCTGTGGATTTCCTGGTTGCGAAGGCAAAATGGTAAATAGTTCAATATTAACTTTGTGTGAAATTCATAAATATTCTTTATAAGAGTAAAGAAGTCTC